GTGCATGGGAAATTAACATCTCCTACCCCCAACCCTGCAGGAGACGGGACCTCCATTTATTCGTCCCTATCTGAGAAGAATAGAATATCTAACCATTTCTTGATGTTATAGAAAGGTAGCAAATTCTTTTCAATTATTTAAGACCTCGAGTGTTGGTCCGGCCGGGGCTCAATCCCTCGACCTCCTGCTCAACAGTCCAGCACACTATCCATTGGGCTAACTGGGCGGCAGTACAATCTGCTTTGTACCTTGATATCTCTTGGTGGAAAAACTTATGAGCAAAAACTTATGCTTAGAAGGAAGAGTGTTGGTCTTGCTTCTTCCGCTATGCCTAAAACTAATCAGTAGTCCCTTGTTCCTTAGAGAAAGATGGGAAATGTCTGAGAAGAAGGCTGAGTGGGACCCTTTCCCTTTATAATTTGGATATATCAACAACGTTGAAGTGGTAAATTAGCCACTGTAACGATTACAAAAGCTGACGTTTCGAGCGTAAGTCTTCGTCGGAGCGAAAGATGAAGGGCTAATGCTCGAAACGTCAGCTTTTGAAATCATTATGGTGGCCAATTCACCACTTCAACTTTGTTGCTATACCCAAATTATTTCGTTACTCCCACCGACGCAGCCCCAAACAGTTTCTTTCGAAACTATCAGCCTTTATTTTTTCCCTTTATGTTCCACAATTATTTCAATTATGTTTATGAAAAATTTACTCTTTTCATAACTTCTTCAACTACAATGGGATATGTATTAACAGGGTGACCAGGGGTAACTGTTAAAGATCATACGCAAAATTGATTAAAACAACTGTGGATAGTTGCTTTGATTCTATGAGGTGAGGAAAAGTACAGGGGTAACAAAAAATATCTAAATATTAGGAATATCTTTGCTTATTTTCATGAGAAATGTGGACAGTTCCTGGCTGTAAGCATACAACATTCAAATTACACTTTATACCTGGTAAATAACAAGTATACAAAGCAGACTGAGATTTGTGATAATTGTTGCCAACTGTAAAGCAAGTAACACTATGACGACAAAATTAATTTCTCTGAGTTAATTTAACTCACTGTAATGATTTTTCGACCCCAGTTTCACTGTAAAAATTAGATCTTGAACGAGGTCATCCAATTTCCTCGTCGACTCTGCTGCTCCTCCTGCTGTTCCTTTACTTCTAGACATGGGAGGAATATATCGCTTACTAGTGGCCATGATCTTCTTAAAACCTGGGGAAGTTACCTAGCTGAGAGAGAAATACAAAATACAATATGGATAAATGGAAAAAAGATAATGTCTCTGGGGAAAAGATATCAAACATTTAGATTAAAATATAATGTGATTTATGCACTCACCTGTTTGCACTAAATTCCTCACAGTGCTCAGTTTTGAGATTTGTTGGTTCTGATTTTCAGTGCAATTTTTGTTGGAGACACATAAAGAACTTGATCAGATTTTCGAAGGATACTGTGTCTATAGTAGAGGTTTATAAAAGATAAGTGATTCCACAAGGTACAGAACTGAATTAAACATGTAAAAGTGATTTAAGGTTGTAAAGAAGAAGAAAGCTGGTAAGTATTGAGCTCAGTAAAGAAATATAGAAAGATGTTTTTTCGTCTAGTCACGACGGCATGGAACAAAGAAAAAAATTCCCAAGATGAATCGAATCTCTTTGTCCCATGTTTGTGTCTAGGCGAAAAAACATCTTTCTACATTTCTTTACCTCAGAACTTACCATCTTTCTTATTCCTTACAAAACATGACACATGAACTTCGTAATGGGCCTCGCTCTCTAAAGAATCTCTGTCGCTCTGTGGTAGAGCATCAGGGCCCGGAATCCAATGATCTGAGGTTCAATTCCTCATGGAGACTCAGAATGTTTTCTTTGTCCGCCCACGCTCGTGACTTGACGAAAAAACATCTTTCTGATTTGATCTGGTAGTTGAGTATTACAGAAAGTAAAAAGGTTGCTTATTTAAATCACTCGTTCACCAAATTCTATTTTCAGCTTTCCTCTATCAAACCACATGTATCAGTGAGAAAACCAATTTCAGTAGCTTACTGCTTTAATGAACGAGGTATCGTTTCGGTCACAATATTATTATTGAATATTGAAACTCATCGTAACCGTTGGACCTCCTTTTCAATGCAGAATATACACGTAAACAAGTATTTCCCCGCCGGACCTCGAAAAAGTAATGGGGTATTACACCTGAAAAACATCATAATAATGCAATCAACTTTCAGTGCCACATTTGCACAAGGAAAATCAGATCGCCGCGTCGTACGAGCAAGTTGCTATTTGTTCCTTACAGTTCAACGACACTTTGTTGAAAAGAACGCTTCTTAATAAAAGGCCCACTCACCTAGTAACAAACTGCGCAGCGCCAATGCTCTTAAAGACGTAAATAGTGTCGACTTCCGCCAAGATAGAGCAGGAACAAACAGGCGTTGCTCGTCTGTGACGCCTGTATGGGAGGGGGTAGAGGGTGGTAGGGGGTCATTTGATTATAGCGGGGCTCCCACGCGCGCTTCGCCCATGTGGGGCTATGGAACGCCAGGACTGTCTTATGTCAATTTTCTTTATTTTAAGCTATGCTTTTGTCGTTATATGCAGTACAGTTATCGATACATGCAGTACGATTGTCGTTATATGCAGTACGATTGTCGTTATATGCATTGTGTTAGTCTTTATATGCAGTGCGTTTGTCCTTATATGCAGTACGTTTGTCATTATATGCAGTACGTTTGTCGTTATATGCAGTGCGATTGTTGTTATATGCAGTACGTTTGTCGTTAGATGCAATACGTTTGTCGTTATATGCAGTACGTACGTTTGTCGTTATATGCAGTACGTCGAAAGTGTTGTTGTGATCTACCCACAATTCAAATCACTCGTATCGGATCCAAGCTCCTCGCAGCCTGACGCCGCCATTTTGTTTGTTTCGGGGGAAAGTTGAAAGCTAACAAAGCTAAATGGAGGGCAAAATGGTATGAGGGGTCATCTCCGCCAATGTCCTGTTTCAAATTATGTTATGAAGAACCTGTATGCTATTGCTTTTTTATAATATTAATATTAATTTCTTGTTATTTTGTTACGTTCAAGTCTGAATAGTCTGGGGCGGATCCAGGGATGGTTCGGTCGAACCCCCTAAATTTTCCCTCAGAACGCTGGAAATCATGTTTCCGAAGACTTAATTTTCAAAATCTTGGACCCCTTAGAAGGGCAACAGTTCTCCGAACCCCCCTCCGAACCCCCGTTGACTAAATCCTGGATCCGCCCCGGATAGTAACCCGTTGAAATAAAATACTTTGAACGGCTGTCACGCAAGTGGTCAAAGCCAATCTTTCAACTTGGCCAGGAATGTACCAAATACATAGCCTCTTGCGTGACAGCCGTTCAACGTACTTTATTTCAACGGGTTGCTATTCAGACTTGAACGTAACAAAATAACAAGAAATTAATATTTTCTATGAGATAAAAGGACCATCTGCTAGTACACAAAATTTAAAAGCGGGATTGCATCGCGTTGTAGCGTACGAAGTTGCCAAAGTTGTATCATTTTTCATTGCTTTACGGGGAGGACAACGGCCATTTAGGCGTATTTCGAACTTTTCGATTTTTCGGAGAAAAAAAA